GTGTGTGTGTGTGTGTGCGTGTGTGTGTGTGTGTATGCAAGTATGAGGGGGGGGAAGGAAGGAGGGAGAGAGAGAGAAAGAGAGAGAGATATATATATTATTTGGAAAAGCAAAGTAAACAATAATAGGTCTCCTTTTCTTCTTTTTTTTAAAATTTTATTTAAGGAGAAAAAAAAACAGAGAAAGGATACAAGTTATACAGATTTACAGAAAAAAATAAACAGTAGGAAATCACTAGTTAATGGATTACATATTGTCATCTTAGAAACAATTGTTCAAGTCACAAAATTAAAGCTTGTAAAGTGGACATTCCAACAATGATACTGCAAACAGTTCTGTTCAATGATCCAATAAAACTCAGTGATATCATTTTCTATCTTATACACTTAAATATACATGCAGTTATATCATTTAGAGCTCTTTCTTTTCCTCTCTTTTGTACAATGACTATTACACATTTTGGGTTTTATTGCTCCCACGGTTCTTATTATTTTTTTGGAAGAGAGTAAAACCAAATGTGACATAACAGAACAGAGTCAGTCAAATCAAAAGGGTGGACATAATAGATAATGCAAAGATATAATACAAGGTGATCAACAATGGTTACCATAATGCCTCCCGCTATCTCTAATAGAATTGGCTATATCATCAGTCATAATAAAATTGAACAAAACAGTAAAGAACAAAACCAACAAAAGCAAAACATTGGAGACATTGTAGGTCTTCAAAAGTAGATAAAAGTCAATGAGAATGGGCGTCATAATAAATCTCACTATCTTCACAGCTGATGCCTAAACTTTCGAACCTGGTACTATCCAGCAAAACAGAATAGGGGAACATCAGTCAAAAACAAGATGGTGAGAGCAATACAGGGCTTTAAATCAAGATAATGGAAAGTCAAAGTGGGTTACTATAATATATCCTGCTATTTTTATTTATTTTTCCCTTAATTAAAAGGATAAAAATAAAAAGTAAATAATGGAGTGGAGATTGAGATAAAAGAGGGCATAACAGCCAAACAGCACAGATCAAAACATAACCATTTAAGCAGAATAGTGTTTCACCACAAGATAATCCTGACATAAAAGTAGTCACCATATTGTCTCTTTCCTTGAAATCCTTGAGTACAACTTCGTATACTGTAGCATTAAATATATCAAAACAATGTAAAACCATTTAAGAGAATGACAGCATTACAGGGTATTTAGAATTGACTAACAGAAAATGAACAATGGTTTCTGTATAATCTCCTTGTCTTTAAAAGTTTTTGCTTATTCTATCATACATAATAAAATCCAATAAGATACAACCTGTTTAGACCAATGGAGACAGAAGAACAAAAGCTTGATGAGACTTCAAAACAAGATGATACTAAATCAGTATTACCTATTAAGACATCATTTTCTCCAAAATAGCTGTTCCTATCATCCAACCTTCTCTGCCTCATTTCTGTTGAGCTCTTTTTCTGTCAGTAGCTGTCAGTTTGTCTTCTTCATTTTGTTCTCTGCTCCATTCGTTGTGGCCTCCCTGTCACTATTTTTGGATTCTTTGCATTTTTCTTTTTTTTAGAATATCCTGCAATACTCTCTGTAGAGTTGAATTGGTGGTTGCAAATTCCCCCAGTTCCTCTTTATCCTGGAAGCACCTTGTTTTTCCATCAATTTCCAGGGACAGTTGTGCAGGATATCTCAATCTTGGCTGGAGATTATTATCTTTCAAAGCTTGAATTATTTCCCCCCACGCTCTTCGTGATTTGATGGTTTGTGCAGAGAAATCTGCTGTAATTCTGATGGGTGTTCCCTTGTAAGTGGTCTGTTTCTTGTCTCTGACAGCTTTTAATATTCTGTTCTTGTATTGAATTTCTGGAATTTTTATTATTATATGCCTGGGTGTTGCTCTGTTTGGGTTGTAGGTAGCTGGGGTCCTGTATGCCTCATACATCTGAGTATCTTTACCTTTTGCTAAATTAGGAAAATTCTTCTGGATTATTTCTGTGAGTAGCTTTTGTAGTTCATTTGTTTGTGTCCCTACTTCTTCTTTTATGTTCTTAATTCTTAAGTTATGGATCCTCTTATTATCTTCTTGTCTTTGTATTATTGCTGTTTGTTTCTTTGTTATTTTTAAGAAGTTTTTCATTTCATTCTCCCATATTATAAATCTGCCCTCCAGTTCAGATAGTCTGTCCTTAGTGTCTTTCAAGCTGTTATGCCAGTTTTCGATAGACTTTTTAGTTTCCTGGTAGCCCCTTTGAACCTGCTTTCTCTATTTTCTCCATCAAACGATTCTCCCCTCTTTTTCTGTTCTTCCATTCCACCATCTGTTTTTTCTTGGGTGGTGTTTAGCATTTCTCTAACTATTCTGCTTACTTCTAGCTTCAGGTCACTGATAACTTCATTCCTGAACTGATCTATGAGGCTCTCTAGATGGCAGTTTATGTCTATTGGTGCGGTGTCTGATATTACCTGTTTCTCAGGATTGGGGGCCGAGGAGCCTTTATTGTTGCTGCCTTTTCCCATATTCTTTGTTCCTTATATATGCAAGCTTATATAAGAGGCTCAGCTTCCCTCCCTGTCAGCCACAGCCTGATCAAATTGCGCCGGCTAGGTGTTCCCGCCCACTGCAGACACCAGGAAGTTCCAGACCAGGCAGCCTACACAGGGCCCGCCCCTCCAGGCCACCCTCAAGCTCTGGGATCTGGGTTGGGCTAGCCTACTGGGTCCGCCAGCAGCGTCACGTAGGCCTGGCACGTCTCACCAATCCCGCTTTAGAGGGGGATATGTGGCTGAAGTCACCACTGCGCCCTGCTCCCGCAAGACTGCCCAGTCCCAGAATGTCCTCCACTGGAGTCAAACTGTGGTAGAGTGTCAGTTTCTCTCACTCACCTCACCACAAGTCAGTGCACGCCTCTCTGAACGTCCTGTTTTCGACTCCATTCGCAGATTCCCTTTCTCAGAGCTTCCGCGCATCTCTCTCCTTGCTGAGCCGATGTAGAGGCAGCCGCCACGCGGCGGGAAACCCAAATCACGGCTTCTAATGGCACGGGCTCCAGCCTCCACACTGAGGCTTTTCTGTTCCTGTTCTAGCATCAGGACTGCATTCCAAGTTGGTTTCTCTCAGCCCACTTTGTTCCTGGGTCAGCAGAGCATATCTCCACTGGCTTATGTCTCCTTACTCCGCACCATTCCTGACTTCTGAGCCGAGTCTTTCAGAGAGCCTCCGTAGCTGCTGTTATCTATCCACCATGTCCTCCCAGAACCTATCTCCTTTTCTTCTTAAAGTAATGCCTATGTCAAAAAAGTTGGTGACCACTTTTCTAGGGTATAATTGAGAAGGTTATGAGATATAGTCTATTTAATCAATGTGTTAAAGAAGACATAAATCTCTGTATAAGCAGGCATAGAAATATGAAATGGAAAGTCCTGATTGGATATATATATATATATATATATATATATATATAATATCTGATATAGATCTGATATCTATTATAAGGATTTGGTCATTGATTCCTGCAAAAAATATGAACCAGAAGCTTGAATACCTGGTAAGTATATATAAATGATTTGTCATCAGATTTTATTTAATTTTAATTGTATGTTTCCCATATATAATGATCACACTCATCACAGGAAAGTTGTATCAGTACATAAAACATTTAAATTTTTCTTCCTTTTCCATCCCACCACTCTTGTCAATTCTTCTTCCTCTCTCTATTTACAAAAGCTTTGCTAATGACATATACTCTTGCAAATTTTAAGATAACAGTATATGGAGGAATTGGCAAGTACTAAAGTTGAAATATTTGACTTGATTGAAACATTAAATGACCTTGAGTATCATGGTAAAAAATTTAGATTTGACCTAATAGGAAGTTGCCATTATTAAAGCAAGGCAATACATTATCCATATATAATTTAGAAAGATAAGAAAACTGATTGAAAAATATATCTATATCTTTGACAGATACATTTTTAGTGCATCTACAAGTTGATAGCTACTTTTAAAATATAAAGAATAAATTTTAAGTGTTCTGATATCTATCATAAAAAATTGGCTAATGATTTCTGCAAAAAATGTGAACCAGAAGCTTGAGTTACCTGGTTAAATATCAAACAGTAGAGGGGACATTTTTCTATCTCTGTCTCTTTCTTTCTCTGTTATTCTTTCCCTCTCTGTCCACATTAAACTTTCCAAAAGTTGCTTTTCTTTCATCTTACAGGTGGGAGTAGTTTTATGCCTGATATTCTGGCCTGAAACAATACTTCCTTTTGATCTGTCTAGAAACCTACCAGGGCAGTACCTTGAATCCCTTTGGGAGGCATCTAGTTACTGTTACGAAGAGTCAGAGAAAGACAAACTTCTATATTCTGAGCCTCTAAGGAGACACTATATTTTGCCTGACAGAGAAGTTGCTGACTTGATTTCCTCTGCTGTAAATGAAAATAAAATCAAAGAGTAGCCAAGCTGTTACATGTAACCACATCTCTGCACTGGATTAGCTTGAGGCATAATTTAGTGGTAAAGAAAATGCCTTGATGCTGGAACTTGGGTGGCCAAGCAAGAAAGCAAGGAGCCAGCCTTCCTGGTAAGTGACATGAGTTGCATTCATGCCAGGGAGAGAATAAGTCACTGTCTCCTGTGAGCCTCCCCTTACTGTTAGCAAATGGATGCTGCTGAGGCCAGCCTGAATTGATAGCAACTAAGGTACAAAAAGCAAGTGAATGATTGTGTTGTTGTATTGATTATGCTGACCTGGGGCCAAAGGTCTGTCATCCTCTTGTGGAGGATGACAGTATACAATATAGCAAATATGGAGGATTTCCTTCAATCTTGTCTTTGAAAGCAAATACAGTTTTCACTGTTTTGCTTTCTTCTGATTAATTGTTTTGCTCTATTCAATATTCTGTTTTGAATGGTTTTCTAAGTGTTCTGTTTTTGGTTTGATTTTGCTATACCTGATTGAATGGACAACTATTGTGAAGATAACAAGAGATGTTATAGTGCTCACTTCACCATCACATATTCTAAAATTGGAACACTACAGAGAAGATTAGCATGGCCCCTGTGCAAGGATGATATACAAATTCATGAAGCATTCCATATTTTTACAAAAGACCAAAATGCAATCTCAAACCTCCATCCCAACCCAAGAAATCTTAGGGGATATGTACATAGAAGAAAATATATGCCATACACCTGATACCTGAAATAATAGCAATTGAAATAAAGAAGCAATACTGGGAAGCTTTAAAGGAATTAAAACTTGAAATAATCTCCCAGGAAAATAAAAAAAATGATAAAAGTATTAAAAGAGATGCTGAACACATCTAAAGAAAACAAGTTAAAAAATTTGGGGAACAAAACAAAAATTTAGAATCCCTAGGTGAACAATGTAAGAAATAAACAGAATACATGGAGCAGATTCAAAGAGATATACAGGAAATAAAAAATTCCACTGAAGATTGTCAAAACCACCTCAATGAAAGTGAAGATAGAATTTCAGACCTTGAAGACAAGATTGCAGCTAATGAACAGGAAAGGAAAGATCTTTTAAAAATAACAAGGAATCAAGAAACAATTCAACAGCTGCAAGAAAATGCAAAGAAAAACAACATAAGGTTGATAGGGATAAATGAAAAAAAAGGGGGACAACAGAAATGATATTAAGAGGATATTTAGAGAAGTAATAGCTGAAAATTTCCTGAACATGATAATGGAAACTGACATTAGGATAAGTGAAGCATATAGAACTCAAATAGCCATAACCAAAGTAAAACTACACCAAGACATATAATAATCCTCATCTCAGAAATCCAACATAAGAGTAGAATATTAAAAGCTGCAAGAGAGAAAAGACAGATTACCTATAAAGGAAAACCTATCAGAATCACAGCAGATTTCTCAGCACAAAAAAATGAAGTCAAGAAGAGCATGGAGTGGAGTATTTCAGATTCTAAAGAAAAATGATTTCCAACCTAGACTGATGTGCCCTGCAAAACTGTGCTTCAAAATGGATGGAGAAATAAGATATTTCTGTGACAAAGAACAGCTCAAGAACTTCATGATCACCAAGCCAACCCTGCAAAGAATATTGAAAGACAGTTTAGATACAGTAGGAAAAAAACACTAAGCAAAGCAGACTATTAAGCAGAATGGAAAGATAAAGATGCAACAGCAGAAAGATAACATGTCAGCAATAAACCAACATATGAGTTATAACCGTTAATGTAAATGCTCTCAATTCATCAATTAAATGAAACAAACTGGCAGAATGGATTAAGAAAAAACATCCAACCATATGCTGTCTACAAGAAACCCATCTAACCCAAAAGGAAATTCACAGACTGAAAGGGAATAGATGGACAACAATACTTCATGCAACAGGAACCCAAAAAAGCAGGGGTAGCTATTCTGCTTGCAGACAATGTGAACTTCAAACCAAGAATGATCAGAAGAGATAAAGAAGGTCATTACATACTGGTTAAGGGAAAACTTCAAGAGGAAGAGATAACAATCTTAAATTTATATGCACCAAATTCCAGAGCACCTAGTTATACAAAGCAAGTATTAATAGAAATGAAAAAGTAATTAAACAATAATACAATTATAGCAGACCTTAACACAACATTGACACCAAGTAACAGGTCAACCAGAGAGAATGTCAGCAAAGAAATAGAAGAACTGAATCACACCTGTGAACAAAAGGACTTGATAGACATATACAGAGTGTTCCATCCAACAACATCAGAATACACATTCTTCTCAGCAGTACATGAGATATTCTCTAAGATAGACCATAAACTAGCCCACAGAACATATTTAAATAAATGCAAAACAGTTGAAATTATCCCTTGCATGTTATTGGATCATACCACCATGAAACTAGAAATTAATGATAAAAGAAACTGCAAAAATCCCACAAATCATGGAAATTGAATAACACACTCTTGAACAATCAGTGGGTCACAGAAGAAATTAAAGAAGAAATTAAACAATACCTACAAGCAAACAAAAATACAAACACAGCTTATGGTATCTGTGGGATGCAATGAAAGTGGTCCTCAGAGGAAAATTTATTGCACTGAGTTCCCACATCAGGAAAACAGAATGGATACAAATAAATAACCTGATGTTACACCTCAAACATCTAAAAAAGAAGAATAAGTCAAGCCAAAAGCCAAAAGAAGGGAAGAAATTACAAAAATCAGAGCAGAAATTAATGTAATAGAGACTAAGAAAACAATTCAAAGAATCAGTGAATCAAAGAGTTGGTTCTCTGAAGGAATAAATAAAATTGATAAGCCCTTGGCAAACTTTATTATGAAAGGGAAGAAAAAGCTCAAATTTGTGCAATAAGGAATGAAAAACTACTTGAAATCACTACTGACTCTGTAGAAATACAGAAAATCATCAACACCTATTTTGAAAACCTCTACTCTCATAGTTTCAATAACACAGAAGAAATGGACATATTCATAGAAACATACAAAGTACCAAAGCTAGGTCAAGAAGATTAAAAACTGCTGAATAACCCAATTTATATCAATTAAATTGAAAATGTAATTAAGTCCTCACCTACAAAGAAGAGTCCAGGCCCAAACAGATTCAATGCAGAATTCTACAAGAAATACAAAGAAGACTTAATGCCTACACTCCCCAAACTCTTCAATGAAATTGAAAGAGGAGCAATTCTTCTTAAGTCATTCCTGGAAGCAAATATTACTCTAGTACCAAAACCTGAGAAAGACCCAACTAAAAAATAGAACTACGGGCCAATCTCCCTAATGAACGCAGATGCAAAAATCCTCAATAAAATATTGGCAAATGGGATGCAGCAAGTCATCAGGAAGACTATATACCATGACCAAGTGGGATTCATCCCAGGCCTAAAGGGATGGTTCAACATACGTAAATCAATAAATGTAATCCACCATATCAATAAACCCAAAAATAAAATCACATTATCATTTCTATAGATGCAAGAAAAGCTTTTGACAAAGTGCAACATTCATTCATGATAAGAACCTTACAGAAAATTGAAATAGATAGTCTTTACCTCAATATAATAAAGGCCATCTATGACAAACCAACAGCCAGTATCATACTAAATGGCCAAAAACTGAAGGCCTTTACCTTAAAATCAGGCACAAGACAAGGATGTCCCTTATCACCACTTTTATTCAATATAGTACTTGAAATATTAGTCAGAACAATTAGACAAGAGAGAGAAATAAAAGGGGTAAAGATAGGAAAAAAAAGTTAAATTATCATTATTTGCAGATGACATGATACTCTACATAGAAGACTCCCAAAGCTCCATTGAAAGTCTCCTAGATGTAATAAATAAATAGCTGGATACAAAATCAATACTCAAAAATCAATAGCATTCTTATACACTAACAACAAAATCACTCAGAGAGAAATAAGAAATGCCACAATCTTCACTGTAGCATCCAAAAAAATGAAGTAAGTAGGAATTAATCTCATGGAAGAAGTGAAAGATCTATATAGGGAAAATTATAATACCCTGAAAAAGAAATCAAAGAGGATCTCAGAATATATAAAGACATCCCTTGCTCATGGATAGGAAGAAAAACTTTGTGAAAATGACCATTCTACCAAAACTGTTATACAGATTCAGTGCAATCCCAATAAAAGTACCATCAACATACCTCATAGATTTAGAGAAATCACTGCTAAAATTCATCTGGAATCAGAAGAGTCCCTGATTAGCAAAGACAATTCTAAGCAGCAAAAAGAAAGCAGAAGATATGACTGGAAGTTATACCACAAAGTAACTGTAGTAAAATCACCATAGTACTGGAATCAAAAGAGAGCTGAGGATCAATGGAATAGATTACAAGATACAACCACAACTACCAACACACTCAACCACCTTATCTTTGACAAAGGGGCCAAACATGTTCACTGGAAGAATGACAGTCTCTTTAATAAATGGTGCTGGAAAAACTGGCTTCCCATATGCTGAAAACTAAAACTAGACCCATGCCTATCACCATGTACTAAATTAAAATCTAAATGGAGCAAATATTTGAATATTACAATGGAAACACTAAATCTATTTGAAGACAAATTTGGTAAAAACCTTGGAGACATAAGGGTAGGTAGAGAATCCATGAACAGGAATCAAACCATATGGGAAATACTTCCCAGAATCAATAACTGGGATCATGTCCTATTAAACCGTTTCTGCACATTAAAAAAATGTCCACCATAGTGAAAAGAAAACCCACAAACTGGGAAAAAAATCTTATTGAATTGTCCCTCGGACAAAGGGCTTCTGTCTAAAACATATAAAGAATTAAAAAATCAGAGTCCCAAAATTCAAAGATTCAATCCAAAATGGGCATCTGAGATGAATATACAGTTCTCAGATGAAGAAATACAAATGGCAAATAAATACATGAAAAATGTTCATCATCATTAGTCATTAGAGAAATGCAAATTAAAACCACACTGAGATTCCATCTCACTCCTGAAAGAATGGCTAGGATCAAGAAAACTACCAACAACAAATGCTGGAGAGGCTGTGGGCAAAGAGGAACTCTTCTGAACTGTTCGTGGGAGTGTAGACTGGTGCAACCATTGTGTAGGTCAGTCTGGAGATTTCTCAAAAAGCTGGTATTGGAAGTCCGATGTGTTCCAGCTATTCCACTTCTAGGCATATTCCTAGAAGAACTGAAAACATCATACCACAGTGATATATGTGCAACCATGTTTATAGCAGCACAATTTGTAATAGCCAGATCTTGGAAACAACCTAGGTGTACATCACCTGAGGAATGGATAAAAAAAGTTGTGGTATTTTTATACAATGGAGTACTGCTCAGCTATAAAGAATGATCATACTGAGATATTTATAAAAAAATGGACACATCTTGAGACCATACTCATAAGTGAAATAAATCAAACTCATTTGTATAAATACTGTATAGTCTCCCTAGTGTAAGAAATGGTAAGACTACATAAAAGTATATGGTAATCATGATTCCTCATTATATTTCTTATACTGTTTACATTATAAGCCTTATAATGTTTACATTCATTAGTTGGAATTGTTTTATTCTGGGTTGTTTGATTTTATTG